AAGAGAGAAAATAGAAGAGAGAAACGATATATATACATAAAAAGAGAGCATCCTAAAGAGAGAAAAGGGTAGAGAGAGAGAAAATGGTTAAGTGGTCATGATTGGGGATGCCATAGATAGATTAAGGAGAGAGAAAAGGGGGTGAGGAGTAAAGAAGAATAATTGAGGGAGGGGTGACAAGAAAGATGCCTAAAGTTCTCAATAGTCTTCCAAAAATACGATTGGCAAAAGGAGTTGGGTGTGGGAAAAAAGAAATGTATTGGTTGGTGGCCTCCCCAGCTTTTTCTTGAAGAGGGGCCTCCTCCCTTCTTCTATAATATGCATCAAGCCCCACCCCACCTCTCATTCTCACCGTGTACGCAATCAAAGTCTTTATCTATGCCCTAGACTTTAATATATAAAGGTTCTCTTTTCCACGCCTCATTTGCCTACGCAGCCCTAGGCAGATATTAGAATTCCACAAAAGAAAATTGTTTCATGCGGGTTGGATTGCATTTCTTTATGCGCGGTTTAGAAAGTGTAAAGTGTTCGTCTTAAAGATGGATGCAAGCAGATGTTCTATCTAAAAATAATAGAAATTGACGGTCCAAATGTTTTTTTACTAGAATTATTATTTCTAGTTTTTAAAATTTATGTATTTATTCATATTCATGATCTCCATGTTATAGATTACCTGTCCTTAAAAATTAAGTCTTAAAATCCATTTCAAAAATAGATTTATTAAGATGCTCACATTTCTATCTATGTGAGCTTGGCCGCATAGAAATCGAGTCCTCATATATAATGATCCTCTTTTTCATGCCTCCTTTGCCTAGACAGGCGTAGGTAGCTATTAGAATTCCATAAATGCTAGAGCGTATGCTAGAGAGAGAGAGAGGTGCACGGTTAGCTTTGCTCATGGTTTAAAAAATGGCGTTTCGGATTAGAATTGGATTGGGAACTACAGGAGCTAGCCCAGTTTTGCCAAAAAACCAGGCAATTCCCTCTATGAACTGGCTGGCCCTTTGATAAGATCACCCCGTTCTATCACAAAACCGGTTCCACTTTTTATTTTTTAAATTTTTTTTCAGTTGTATTGTTCTCTATTTCCTTTTCTTAAATTATAAATTGGCTGGTTATTTAGCTAGATCGCAGATTCGATGACCGCATACCGACTTTCCTGATAGGCGATCCAAGTCCCCGCTCCATTTTTTTAAAACCTTGGCTTTGATCATATCGGAAGATTTTGGTTAATTGAATCAATATTTTGAGAAGAAAGAAAGAGAGATGACTTAGCATTTGAGGAGGGGAAGGATAAATTTTCAATACCACAGTGGAGAGCGATGACTTGCCTTTGTTTGGGAACCCTAAATATTTTGTCAGAAAATAGAGAGAATGAATAACTTGGTTCCCATTTTTAAACAAAGAAGTGGGTCAACTTTGTGAGGGGCACGACAAACTTGGGTCCCATTCCCTTTAGAGCGACCGCTGTATTTGAATTGTATAATGAAACTCACACCCGACCTTCGCATGTTCTCTCTCTCTTCCTCTGTCTTCATTCAGTCCTCCAAACAAAACCTTTGAATTCTTGTTCGCTGCGTTAAATGTATATCGTATCGCATGCTCGTGCGTCTTCTTTCGGCCGCAACAAAAAAACTTCATCATAAAGTGAAGGCAAAAGTTTGTATACTCTAAAGAATCAAATTTGAGCCTATCTCAAAAATTTCACTGTAAGGGTTGTTTTGATGCTCAAATATTTTTAAATTGATCGTCTCGACATCAAGATGCATGGACATGAAAAATAAATAGATTTCCAGTTTTGGAAATAATGTATTTTGTAGCATATTTTTTGGACCATCAATTTTCAAGATTTTCAAGTTTTTATACATACGTCAATCTACACTATTTCTGAAACTTTAAACTTTATAAATAAAAATGAAAATATATTTTAGGACTGTCAAAAAGATCTCAAGTATTGAAACCATATTTCTCAACACTATTTGAATGTAGGCTTTAATTTGATTGGTTATAGCCTATGCTCTATACAAACCGCACTCAAAAGTGAAACCTCACTTAAACATTGGTTAAAAACGGATGCTTTCAAGTTTTAGTTTTGCTTAGATTAATGGGTGCCATTGATGTAAGTTTTCACTAAGTATGGGTACTTAAAATTTTTGTGATCAGTATAGATTTTATTTTTATTTGTGTTTATGAAATTTAAATGACAAAAAAAAGTGTAAATATAAGAATATTTAAATTTTTTGAAAATCGACGGCTTAAGTAATGGGTTACAAAATGCACTTTTTTATAACTCAAAAAATTGGTTCTCTTTTATATGTTCATACATCTCGAGATCAAGTGATGAATTAGAGGGTTTTCAAGTATGCAAAATTTGGAACAAATCCTTCCACATGGGTTTTTGAAGCGCTTCTTACGAAGTGCACACCTTGTACAAGTCCCTTGATTATTGGGTTCGCTGTTATATATGATGTGGACTTGTACATAGACTTGCGGCTCAACGGTTTTTTTGGTGTGCCCTGGGCCTTAACTAAGCCGCATCCAAAATTAAAACGCGCCCGTAGCATCAGCCACCATTTGGCCCACAGCGACACTTTTTTCCTTCTCCGCAGTGAAACCCATCGCTTTCCCCTCCAGAATTCCCTGCACTCCCTGCTCAGACACAGAAACTTAGAGAGAGAAAGTACTTCCCTAGTTTGAGAGAGAGAAAGATTGAGTCCTTTAGAGAGAGTTGGAGTTCTCTAGAGAGAGAAAGAGGTGGGACTGAAGTCTTTGTCGTCATCCTCTGCTTTATTGTAGAGCTTCTTAAAATGGCGGTTCTGATAAGTACTCTGAAAACACAGGCAATCAGCTTCAGAAGGATGTTCTTCTTCTGATGTTGGTACTGAATCCCCGCTTTGAAAGCAGCGCTATTTATTAGTATTGAACATAGGCATGGCTTTTTGTACCAAGCTTTGTTGGGGGAGATCAACTAATCGGTATGCTTCACTGTTACGTTTGGGGTTTCTTCAGTGGAAACCTCTGTGGTTTCTAGGGTTTCTTTACTTTCTTCAAGTACGGTTTTTGGGAATCTTTTTTAGAATAATGGTAATGGGTCATTTGTTATTCTTTAGTTGCCTCCAACTATAGCTGTAGCTGGATAATTTGAGCATGATTTCATGTGTCTATCATTTTTTTTGGCTCTGTTTCCTTGCATTATATGTGGAATTCAATGATTCGTGACTGATCATGGCGTTCAATTAATCGGTGCTTTGAATGATCCCTTCTTTCATTGCATTCTTCTCTTCTTTTCTCTGTAATAATTTTGCTTTCTGTATCCTTCTTTTATTAGTTCCATGGCTTTTGTTGAATTTGAAAGAGCCGCTTTTGTTATCGTTATTTGCACTTGTGTTTTTTGATTCTTACATGTAGAAAATATTGGTTCCAGGAAAGGAGCTGATAAAAAGGGTACCTCTTGGAGGATATTCTCTTTGAAGGAGCTGCATTCTGCTACCAATAACTTTAACTACGACAATAAGCTCGGAGAAGGCGGTTTTGGAAGTGTTTATTGGGGTCAACTCTGGGATGGATCTCAAGTATGGGCTTTATTTTATCTCTCTGCTACATTAGACCCTTAGCCTGTGAACACATTATACTGTTTCATTTTCCTTGTTTTATATATGATACAGATAGATAGACTTAATAGTTAAGCTATTTGGAAACCACATTAGTTTTCTTGATTTGTCGGTGTGCTGTCAGTGGTGCCCTGGAACTGTTGGATATGCATTGGTTTATTAAATGCCACCTCAACTTGCTGTTAGGCGCTTTGTTATAGGCATTGAGAATAGCTGAGACATGATTAGCTGAGACATGATTGGTAGGCTTAGGATAAGTAATGGCATGTGCAAGCAGCACTTCCATGGTAGCGATTTAAGGAACTCCATGAGAATTGTGGAGATTAGAAACTGAGACTTGCCAAAAAGTGTCAACTACCAAACATATCAATAAAAGTATCTTTGGATGGTTGTATTAAGTATTCTTCATGTATGGGATAGAGATAATCATCTTGGTCCCTATGCAGCACTGCACAAAAGTGGGCTCCTTGTTTGATATTTATTGTACATATCTTGCATAGATTTTCAGCCTCAGGGATTTCACCTTTTATTGATAGTTCTGTAAGTGAATATGATTCTTGTTTTTTGAAGCCAATATGAAATATTTGATTCAACGTTTCTAGGTAACATGCATGGAACCGTCGTTTCATTAGAAATTCTGCCACTCTTACCACCGTTCACCTTTCTATGTGTTTGGAGTAATTTTGTTGGTTCTATTGGATATTGCATAAGAAATGTTTTTCTCAAGGTTTGAAAATAAGCCAGCTGACTCTGGAACCACCCTAGTAGGCTCAGGACTGCAAGGTGACCAGTCCGAGTCCATCCTGAAATTGGACTTACACAGTTACTGTTCATCTGAGATAATTTTTCTTGCTTTATTTTTTCTGGAAAATAAGTCAAATATCTCCCATTTGGATTGTTTTTTAATCAATTTATTCACAAATTAATTTTCTCCTGCTCCCTTCATATCTACGAACAAACTTTTGGTTCAAAACCATTTTTGATAAAAAACTTGCCATTTCAGAATAGGCCTGATTCTCTCCACCAGAAATCTTGTTTTCTTAATTACTCTCTTGTTATTTCACCGAATTGATTGAAATCTGTAACAAAAGTCTTCCTCTCTCATGGATCTTCAATAGCCCTATATTTTTGGTTGAATAAACAGTTCATTGGTCTGAACTTTGATCTATTGCAGAAAACTAGATTTGGAAAGAAAAATGATTGAATCTTGATGGTAAATAAACATCTCGAATTTTTGAAGGAAAAAGATTGAATTAAAAGCAGATTGTCACAATATAATTCAAATCAATTTAATCAAAGTCATTTTTCAAGATTGAATAAATATTTTTCAACATCTCTTTTCAAAATGATCATTTTCCTCATTATTTTTCAATATGTTGAAAAAAAATCATTTTTTCAATCTTTTTCAACAAATTCTGTTAATTGAAATGCACAATCAGTTTTCGGATCATTTTTCACCATTATTTTTATTCATTGATTGAAAAACAATCGTTTTGCAATTTCTTAGACTTTATTTTTTTCTTTTTTCTTTCTTCTTTTGGTTTTTCAGTGGAACTGGCCATCCAACTTAGAACTGGTGGGTGACTGCTTGGGCCCACCGTTCCAATCTTTTAAACATTGGTTTTACTGTAGAAATTTATTTCAGCATGTGAGGGGGGCCATTGGGGTACTTTTGGCTACATGAAAAAAACCTGCATCCAATAACTAAAATAAAATTGCTTTGGAGATTCTAAATAAGAATGCTGGTGCAGTAGAGATCAAGCAAAAAGTGCTTTGGAGTCCTTCACCAAGAAGTTATGATGGTTATACATTTCAAAATGGTGCCTATTGTCCTTTTTGTCAGCAACTATGTTGCAACTTTGTGATCACTCTTGTATGTTCTCTCATATTATTTGCATATAAATTAGGAAGGGTGTAAATATCATCCATACCTTTCGCAAATTATGTATATCCATCCATGAGTTATCCTAGATGTTTGATGAACAAGTGAACACACTGGAAAACTACCCACTTATGCAGTGATTTAAAAGTGAACCGCCCAATGCCTAGGCGGTATGCGCCCAGGCCTAGGCGGCCAAACTAGACGGGCGGTCCTTGGGTGGCCGCTTAGGCGGTACGGCACCCGCCTAGGCGCGCCTAGGGGCGGAGATGGTTTTGTTGAGGGTTGTTTTGGGGTTTTTTTTGAAAAAATATTATTTTTAAAGGTGGGTTTTAGGTTCATTTGAAACCTAAACCCATAAGAACTCATTTTAGAGAGAGAGAAACCTAAAAAAAAACTAGATTTTGTGATTCTCATTGGATCAAAGTTTTTCTCAAAGTTATGGGAAATGGATCCAAACATAACCCATTAAGATTAGATTTAGTTTTGGATTTTTTTAGTCCTATTAGAGGGTTTTTTTAATATTTTAGCACCAGAAAATATTTTAGAGGTGGAAGTTTGGAGTTCAAGCAATCAAAATAAGTGCAAAACTTTATTTTTTAGATTGCTTATATTGTTTTGCGATGTCTTCTTCAAGATCTAGTTGAAGTGGTGATGTGGATTGGAAATATGAATATAACCCGAATCCGAATGACAAAAATTGCATAAGATGCAATTATTGTGAAAATGATACAAAATATGCCATAAACCGGTTTAAAAAACATCTTGCCATTTTTAAGGGGAATGTTGCCCCTTGTAAAAATGTTCATGAAGCTATCAGAGAGGAGATTAACCAATATGTGAGTTCAGTAATACACAAACAAAATCCTTGTCATTTGGATAGGTCTATTTCTGGTTATGCTAGAAAAAGTGATCCGGGTTGGAAGTGTGGTTATAACTCGAAACCAAATGATAAAAATTGTATAAAGTGTAATTTTTTTGAAAAAGATACCAATGAGGGTATTAATCGATTCAAGAAACACCTTGCCAGTATTAAAGGGAATGTTGCTTCTTGTAAAAAGGTTCCTGAAGCTATTCGGGATGAGATTAGACAATATTTGAATTTAGTAGAACCAGAAAAGGATGAAATGAGCATTGTTTTATGGAATATCTTCTCCAGGTTCTTTTAGAAGTGGTGATCCCTATTGGAAGTATGTTCATAACCCAAATCCAAATGACAAAAATTGTATTAAATATAATTATTGTGGACAGGATACTACTGGGGGTGTTTACCAGTTCAAAAAAGACCTTACCTGTATTAAGGGGGATGTTGCCCCGTATAAAAATGTTCCTGAGGCTACCAGGGAAGAGATTCTACAATATTTGAGTACAGGGAAGTACAAAAAGATAGAAAATGATAGAACAACCAAAACTCCTAGGACCTCATCTTCACAGAGTAAGAGAGAGGTAGAAGAAGAGGAGGAAGATGCAGATTTAGGACAAACAGAGGAGAACGAGCATTATGTTGAACAAGGAGGTGACTCTAATGATGATGGCCTCAAATCTGATGCATATGAGGGGGCTTACCCTATTCCTTCTGATGATGATGATGATGACTGAAGAATGAAGAGTTGAAGACGCTTGACTTTTGGTGTTGACTGTTGATTGTCGAGTTCTAGATTCTATATTTTATGAATTTCTGTATATTTTTTTCTTCTTTTTAGTTTCTAGTTTCTACTATCTAACTCTTGTGTGTATGTTTGTATGGTTCTAGCATTGTATAAAAATATGGATTATGGACTATCAAAATTCTCCTCATTTATGAAAATATCAAATATGGATTATGGATTATGTGTTATATAGTTATTCTGTTATATTTGGTATATAATTATGGATAAAAATTCTAACATTTTTCTTTCTACTGGGCTGCCTAGGTTTTGGGCGCCCGCCTCGGCGCTGGGCAGCTTGGATCCCCACGGCCGCTTAAGTGCTGCCTAGCGCTTTTTGAAACTCTGCTCTTATATCAAAACTCCTTAAATATACCATGTAACTCACCCCACCCTTACAGGTTTTGAATTACTAATTTCAGTTCTACATTTCAACACTTGAAGTATGAGAAAACAATATGAAAAAAATACACCCATTTGATTTGAAGCATGATAATAATATTGCTCTCTATTTTGTCCTAATTTTATCTTTGGCCTTCCCAATTCTTTTCGCTACATTTTTATCTTCTTTAGCTTTTTATTTTATCTTCAATTACAATGACCGCTTCGTGAATTTGCTGATAAAGGGTGCTGAGAACTATAAAGAAGAAAGAGAAAAGGAGAAGGCGTGGGATATGTGAAGTCCCTGTTCTTATCAATTTCATCATTCTTTTCCTTCAATTTGTCCTGCCCATTGTGAGATGAGTTGAAAGAGTTATCTCTACGAGTTTCTTAGGGCTGGATGTTTCATAAATTGAAGACTTGATATTGTCCTTTTATGATGGTAATATGTGGTGGAGTTGTAGAAGAGTGTCCAACTTTGCCAGACGTCCTTCGTGAATGAGGGCCTTCATGACTTCTCTCTGGCCTTCTTGATAATGGAAAGGGACTTGCTGAACATGGTTTATTGGTTGGCAGAGCTTACCTATGGGGACTAGGACACCCATGCAATGAGATTGCAAATATATATAGTTCTTCTTAGTTTTTCGGTGGACTTATATATAAGAAGTCAAGTTGCACAAATGTTCATTGGCATTTCCATAGTCAATTTGTCTGTTTTTCGGATTCTTTTTCCATCTTGTAACTCGTCATTTAACATCCATTGTGTACTACATCTGAAAGCAACAAGAGTCACTCAAAAAGTCCCAAAATACTTTGGTGTACCGCTCTCTGCAATGCGTTCTAACTTGTTGGAATTTGACATTGATAACATTATAGAAACAAATATTTTGTCATCAGTTTGTGGCAGTGTTTAAAAATACAGGCTTGGGATGGAACTCACCAAGTTCCTGAGTTACCTGCGTGAGCCTTGAGTTGGACTTGGTATAGTTAACAGAGGAATCAGTAAGTTCTTTAAACAATTAGAGACTCGGGGTGGGTCCTAACGTTTGCTTGGC